ACTTTCCGATCGCACCTCGTATAGGTTAAAATAATAACACATTAATACACGTCAGTTAGCAGAAATGAATTAAACCCATGTTTCACGTCACGTGCCAATTATTTGTACGCAGAGTCGTTTTGTTTTGATTTCGATTTGAGTTTCGTGTCAAGGAAGATCAAAAATGACAGACCGGAAATGACTAAAATTAAGTTCGCCCCGACATCTGTTTGGGAAGTTCTCGACATTAAACATGACGACGGACTTGAAATGACCCCCATCTATACTCGTCCCCACGTACTTCGTGGCAAAGGACACATAAATATAGGAAGGCGTTAACCAGTTTAATAAAATGTGTAACACTTTTCCGTTCCTCTGAGTTGGTTTCCTGTTTTCTTCTCGTCTAAGAACAGACTCTGCATATAAATGTATTTATTTTATACGTTCTTGAGGGAGGGAGGGGGGTCTGTCCTACCGTCCATACGCTGTTTTCCTTTTGAAACCGTCTATTTTATTACCGCTGAATTTTATACGACAACTCTCCGTTAGCATTTGTTTCGCTTCGAACCGGTTGGCTATAAAACCGATTCTAAAATTAAATATCTTCGCTTTTATCAGAAACTCTTCATTGTACGAGCAATTTGTGCGTAATATAGAGTACGACAGAGATCATTAAAGCTCGCAAATCTTCATTTAACATGTGCTCCTACGTGTAGAATATTTTACCAAGAGAAGGCAAAATCAGTCACTCGCTTTAAATTACGTGAATTATATCTTTATTGCTAAAAAAATACATAGATTAGTATATAAATACTGATAAAGCAAGTAACTAGTGACAATTTAAATAACTTTAGTTAAAGAGGTAATTGAAAAGTAAGTGTCGTCAACTTTGTAAAAATAAAAATACCCATTAACGATTTAAGTGTTATGCCAAATGACTTTATAGTACAGAATCTAAACGGCTTATAAAAAATCATTTAAATAAAGGCGTTAAAGCTGTTTCAGAGATAATGTTAAAACGACATTATATAATAAAACACATCCAGTTATAGATAAATAAATTACCCGTCAAGAATGAAGGTATAATCTGAAATGGTACGAAAACACATTTATATTTCCTTTAATTAAAATTATAATACGATTTAACGTGACGCAAACAGCTTTTAACAATCTTAAAACTTTGCATACCGTGTAGTGTATTGGAATATAAAAATAATCATACAAAAACAAACTGTTTACATTATAAATGACATTGTGCCAAAAGCGTTTCGACCTCAAGAGGTCATCATCAGTAGCAAAAGGGGAATTAATTCATATAATATAATAATTATAATTTGATAAATTATAAGATTTACGTCAGCCATAAATAAACAGGTATGTAAAATCGAAAGGAAATGCGATTTAAAATTGGAAAATATTCCAAATTGTACAACATTTAAGCTTTTCTTTATGATAACAGTGTTCTAAAGGAACCGCCCTGATGATGGAGGCGGCAAGCACCTCTGAAATGCATCTTATTTCCGCGTGTGGAAGGAAGTGTTGAGAGGGCATCGCCCCACATTATCATTGCTGCATCAAAGAGCAGGCTAATGCAGCGGTAGAAACTCGCTTCAAATCACGACCGCTCTGCTAAATGAGGTTTCTGTGTTTTAATTACTCGTTCCCAAATTTCGTGATGTTACACTGAAAGGGCCCTCTGGCGCGGAAGTGACTGAAGTCAGTGACGTATCACGACATTCGCTGTTAGGGCTAAGAAATAACATCAAAATACCAGTGAGGAAAGCCGTCACCTTCTGAATACACATCTTGAGATTTACCATCGTTACAGCCTGCTCCGTGTGAACCCAAATGGACGTGGTAACTTTCATTTCTAATATTCAAAGTATCATAATCCATCTCGAATCATTAACCCTTTGGAGAAAAGTGGTAATCATATGTACCAGCTGCGTTAACTGTCAATAATTGTATTTGTTTTTGTTTTAGTTTTCAAAACTGTAACCAGCGATTATTTCCTTAAACAGCGTTAACCAGTTGATCTTTGTAATGGTGAAGAGTTGTGTTTTCTTCGCGGTACGGACTGAATTCTTAAATATTATTTGAACGAGTCTCTGCTCCAAATGGTTAATTAATTATCAGATTAAATTATATTATTTCCTTAAACAGCGTTAACCAGTTGATCTTTGTAATGGTGAAGAGTTGTGTTTTCTTCGCGGTACGGACTGAATTCTTAAATATTTAGACGAGCTTCGGGTTCAAATGATTAATATTACAAAATAAATCACTGTGAAATCTGTGATTTGCTAAGAAACGTATAACGAGGTAGTATTGAAAGCGTCAGTAGTAATGGCCGCACACAAGTTGAACAGGTGAGCCAACCATCTAGTTGAATTGTACTCGGGCGTTACCACCAGTCGGGTTTTTGAAGGTAAACTAAGTATGACACGTGACTACGTGTAAAGTTTGTAGAAGAAAAACGTTTTTTTTGTTAAGTTATTTAAATGCCTTCTACTTGCAGACATTACGAAGCGAAGTGCTAACACGTGATGTTAATTGAGGGTAGGTTATGGTAATTTGTCATACTTGGGAAGGGGGCACTGCTCCACGCAAACAGGCTGTTTGGATGTTGACATTTAGCAACAAATCTGCAAAGTAGAAGCTGAAGTTGCCGTTTATCAAAAGCTCCACGCTTCATAGTACTAAAATGGGAAGTTACGTTTAAGAATTCAGTCCTTACCGCAAAGAAAACAACACTTCAGCATTACAAAAATAATTTTTTTATGGTTTTTACGGAAATAATCCATTAAGCTGAAATTGGTTAAAATTGTTACTTGGTGCAGTTAGTAAAAGCCTTCAGTTTCTATCGGATAGGGGCCTCGGTGGCCCTACGTCGATGTGGACGTAACGTTAAGAATTGAACTCCGGCCGTCGACTTCGTCAGCCGAGATTTTGCTTCTTACCTATCGGAGCCCCACAGACACAACTAAAGTCTAACTCACGTGTTTCAAACAAAAATTCCTTTGGTCTGAAGATTTCTTTTCTGGTTGTGTTTGAATAAGAGAATTCTGTGTAGGGATTTCAACGCCAGAACAAGCGAGGAACTTTAGATGCCAGCAGAGAATCAGGTCCATTCAGCATTACCAAAGTGCACAAACAATCAAAAAAGATTTGTTTCTCTCAGAAATTAAAGTGGGCCAGTGTTTGGCGAACACGTGGGTCAATTAAGAGCCTCAGTTCGGATGAAATCGGACGACAGCCGATATTTGGTGGAGAGACAAACAAGGAAATGTGCGTTTGGCATAAAATAGAACGTAACCAGTATCGTGCTAGATCTTAAACAACAGAACATTTGCTGTGGGGAAACGAATATGATTGGGTATTTAACGACGATGTATTAGGTTAGGTTAGTTTAGTTTAGTGTAATTGCGTCATATTGTGAATATTATATCAATTATTTATTTTAATCCGTCTGATCACAATATAATTTTATTTAAAATTTCTTATAATTAAGATAATAAAATATCATTCGTGTTCCTTATCGATTGATCGATTTACATTTCGGAACATTTACACAACATGTTTCGGTTTTTATAAAACCATCATCAGGTGTAAAATATATCTAAGAGCTTAAAACTCAATTATTATTTCTGTAGTTTTTTGGTGATGTTTCATTATAAAAACCGAAACATGTTGTGTAAATGTTCCGAAATGTAAATCGATCAATCGATAAGGAACATGAATGATATTTTATTATCTTAATTATAAGAAATTTTAAATAAAATTATATTGTGATCAGACGGATTGAAAATAAATAATTAGTTTAGTTTAGTTAGGTTAGGTTAGGTTATTCAATTTCAACTGACGTTTTACGTTTGTATACGGCATTACCATAACGCCAGACTGGAAAGACTGGGGAAAATCAAGAAATATATTAGAATTAAGCAACTCCATGCAGAAATTTGAAGCTTGTACCACTATGACACAAGTAAGACTCGTTACCACTGGGTTAATTAGTTAGGTTATGGAAGGGTACACGACAATGTGACGTCATATCCATCAGCAAAAACCAAAGTGTTTGTTGAAGTGCTAACGTCCTCTCAATGGCTCCTCTCTGACATTCGACCTCCTGAGTGTGCAGTTCAATAATAATAATAAGTCACTCAGGAAATATTTGGCCAACATTTCGGGCGAACACGACCTCAGGAAACTTCAGAAACCCGCCATTTTAGGATCTTCATACATCATTCGAAAGACGCTTTCGTAAAATATGTAATCATCTCTAAAAATAAAACTATATAATATATGTAACACGTATTAAAAACAAAATGTATTTCGGAAATATCTGCTGCACTATGTACCTCAGGGACAAGGTTTTTCTCGGGTACGTGGAAGTAAATATCATGTAAAGTGGTGAATAGATGGGATATAATAATAATAAATTATTAGTGTTAGTGTTACAAGTGTCATCTCTACTAGGTGGGACGTGACTACGCCCCAAGCCATGAAGACGTATGGGGTTATGGAGGTCCAGTTCCATACACTTCTAACCTCGGTACTAAGTTGAGGTGACTTTGCACTCTAACGCCCCGAGACATGGCGCCCCAGCATCCGTTGGATAGGAGGCTGTGTGGACCCAATCTCCGTCCGAGAACAATCGACGTTTCTCCAATACAAAATAAATAACAATAACATTGTAGCAGTTATGACAGCAGCAATGCTGGTTTATTCACGATGGCTCCATCCTGAGGGCTGAAGTGACGATGCCTGGAATCGGAGGGATTAAATAAGGCGTCAGGAAAGGAAGTCTCAAGGACATTGTCAAATCAGGACGGAATTCCAGCCCACAGCCCCCCCAAAAACCCAGAAGAACTTCAACGTGATCGTCGTAACACCCGTGAAGACTGCAAATGTCATAATAGCTAACAACTCTGATTTATTCCTCAACTGAAAAGAGCCTACCACACGCAGACACTAATAAAACACACAACACTAATAAAATATACTGAAATGGAACACGTCAGAACAAAATACAGTTAATCAGATTGTCAATCTAGACACTTCTACGTATAAAGTGTCCTGAGAGGAGACAGAATTTTTTTCCAAATACGTAAAAAAATGCATTTTTCGCTTACTGAAAGAACGTGTCTTAGTGAACTACTTGTTTGCCTTGCAGGCTCGTAGATACAAACAGCGACCTTGATAGAATGACAGCTTATTTTTAACTTTGAAAATAAACATCAGAGATTAATAAAATATCGAGATGTCGTCTTGAATAAATTATTCTAAAATGAGAACATAATTGGGTAAAATATCGATCTCAGAATATCAGTTGTTTTGTAACTTTGTTTCTAATTTAGTAACAATCTCGTCTAATCTGTTCTGTTTGCAACAACAGGGGTTAGATGTTTCAAAATTTGCGTTCCCTCAGTGTTACTCCGCGTTTTATTTCCGTCCATTTACAGTACCAGAACTGACCCTCGATCACTACGGTGTCGTCGTATTCCTCAGGACGGCCTCCTCGCGTCAGGATCTGCTGTCGTGGGTCGTGCTCCTCGACTAGGGCGCCGCCCAGTGCGGCCAGGAACAACACTCGCCACAACATGGCAACTTGAACTACAGGCCGGCCACTTCGCAAGCCTCTTTTAAGTGTGGCAGGCCTGCCACGTGGAGACACCAACCCGCGACCAGTTACCTAGGGTCATCAACACGGAATTCGCAGGTACAGTCAGCCACAGCAAGATGATGCTCCAGTTCTTAACTCCTTCTTCCGTCTAGCCTGTCAGACGATCGATCGATAGATCGATCCATCACTCGCAGTTATCTGTTTCATCTATCGAACCTCGATTCATTTTATTCGTATTATTTGCCAACTGACACACACATTAATTTATTTCTTTTTTCCAACTTCAGTTTCGCAGTCAACATTCTTTCTTCAGAGACCTTACATTAAGCGTGTCTCAAAGTTTTGTGTCTGAAACCCACAAATACCGTTTATATTCGAAACAATATTTTAAGGTTATGTAATCGTCGTGTCATTGTTTTTCTGTTCTAAGCTAATAGTATTTAAACAAGATAACTGAATTTTTTAATATTCTATATGAATTTCCTGCGTTTTGCATCCGGAATTCTCTCCCAGTTCTTAATAATGTTATATCAACAATGCCGGACGAGTGAACATAAACGCCATTGTTGTTGGGGTCTTGACATTTTCATGGTGATAAATCTTTGGGAAAAAAAAATTCACAGAGATATTAACGCTATTATTGTGTAAAAATAATATAAAAATAATAACAGTTAAAAGTTAGGTTATGTGATCGATAAAAAATAGTAACAGTTAAAAGTTAGGTTATGTGATCTTAATTTACGTTGTGGTTTAAAAAAATACTGCATTCTTAAATCTTGTCTCATGCCATTTTGTATATCGACCTAAAAATTGTTTATGAGAATTTTAGGTTAGAAAATGGTTACAAATTAATATTGGAGGTTATGTGGTTGTGTTAGAAGTCTACACTGGAGATTAATAACCAAGTTAAATTGCGTTAGGGAATCTGGCGTCATGAGTTCATCCCAGGATGCATTTCTTTTTAACTTCTCTTGAAGCACGCGTATAAAATGCTGTGACGAAGTTGTTCACTTCAGACATTTAGGTTAGGTTGTGTATTTTCATGATTAAGTATCTTAAGGCGCCGGATTTGAATTCTCGGGCTACGGATTCGGCGAATTGCTGTTATTCTTAAGAGCCTCGAGTATGAAAAGGACAGATATTTTATTAAAAACAAAGGAGATGGATGTTTTGGCTTCTGACGTAATGAGACCTGCGACGTAATGGCTTCTTAGAACAGTCACGGCCCCATAGAATCGAGATATTACTACTGACTGTTCAGAAATCAACACTAGACAGGGATCTTTTAAACGACAACATTACGAATGCATCGTGGTATCTAGTCTACATAGTAATACAAAGTTTTCACGAATTTTAACATTTAGTAAACATTACAGCAAAAAGAATGGCGAGACAGTTTCAGAATAAAGAAACAAACGACACTCTGCATTCCGATGCTCGTTAATTTACATACAATGTTTAGGTATTTAGTAAACATTACAGCAAACAAGAATGGCGAGAGAGTTTCAGAATCAAGACGCAAACGACACTCTGCATTCAGACGCTCGTTAATTTACATACAATGTTTAGGATCAGGTGTTAATATCAGAGGCCGTTTTTCGAACCCATACAAAACAACAGATAAAAATGTCAGTGCTGTATATTTCAATGAACACGACTAACAGTGAAAACATTTATAAATCGATACAAGTTCGGGAGACGGGAGAATAAATTTTTGAAACTACAGGCTGTCTCAAAAATATGTATACACATTTTAATACGGAATATTAACATTGTGTTTGTGCGTATTTTTTTTGGACACCCTGTATACAGAATATTAATTAACGCAAATGATAAAATACGAAGGACGCGAGAAGGATAAGATTCGCAGAAATGAGGACTACGAGAACCTTTGATGAATACAGACGTTTGCAAAAAAAAATATCTTGGTGACATCAAAATTGTAGATGATCCTAAATAATTCTAGAGGTTGCCACGTGTCATTGTGATGGACCAGCACATAGAGTGGGTGAGGGAGTCGGAGGATTGGGCCCTAAGAAGGGAAGGAATGATTATTCCTCGCGTATTTTAAGAACGGGTAAGATTTTCGGGACCTGCTCGTGAGGAAATTAGAAGAGCGTACACAATTTTAGAGGAGAAGACTTTGGAAGCTAGCTTCAGACGGGAAGATAATATTAAAATGGTTTTTAAAGAAAAAAAGGATTACTATATCCGTCTAGCTCAGTGACGGGCAGATGTTAACACGATAATTTACCCCATGTGAATATAAAAGGTTAAATCAGATGAATCAGTTTGAATCTAGAAGGAAATGAATAAGAAAAATACCAAGGACACGCTGGTAAGAAGATTCTAAGGCCGGCACAGTTGTCTAACCTGCTACAAGATTACAGAGTTGAGAGCGTAATAAGTGATGAGGTATCTTCAGTAGCGAATTGAAACGTTTGTTGCCCCCAGGGTTAACCTGTGATTATGGCTCTCTGGAGGAAACAGAGAAGACGCGGGTACGTAATTGTGACACCGTTTCCCAGGTCAGAAACAAGGAACGCAGATGCACGCTTTAAACTAATGAATGTCTTCATTCGATTCAGACCAACGGGTTTGAAAATCATTGAAATCATCAAACGTCAGCACCGTTTAAAATCAATGATGAATGCGTAATGTAGAAAAGATTTAGCGTGATTCTTTCCGTGTTCCTAATAACGTCTGGACCAGCTGCTTGGATGTTAATATTCTGAAGAGGTCAGACGGCGTGGAAATATGGATAATAGACAACCGATAATGGGCAGTCCTCAAGATTGGCATTGCTACAAGACTAACAACTCCCGACCGTAAAAGAAACTGTACGATTGATGATGTCAATCTGGGTTTTTTGCGACGCGTAAACTCGTCGGCGGATGCCAGACGTTCTGAGAAACATACTGCCTACATCTTCAGGGCTGAAGTGGAGGAGAGATTCACTTCCCAGCTTCGTCAATTCAACCGTGATGGTGGAGACAGCGTGTTTATACGAAACTTTGGTATCTGACGACGAGTTTACGCGGCGACAAAACCTAGAAGAAGGTCTCGACCAGCTCCGGAAATATCAGATTTTCAAAGAGGTGTCCTGATTATAGGGCCGGAGTACCTCGGTTCGAGAACTGGCTACAGTTACGGGGTTCAGTTCCCAACAAGGGAGAAAGCTCTTCTTCAACACAGCCTCTGTCACCCCAGCCCTGCGGCTCACTAAGCCTTCTGACCAATCGTTGCTGGGGCTTGGACGGGGGGGTTTGACTTCCCGTAGAGATGAGGCGGTCTGAGCGTGGAGCTCTACTGATAATATTATCTTTCCGTCCTCGCGTTGGTGTTCCGAATGATCTCTTAACGTATTCTGATCAATATTTTGGGTGAAATTCTGTCCCATGCACGCTACATGCCTCGCCCATCTCATTCTTCTTGAGTTCATAATCTTAATGATTTTGGTGAAGACAAATTATGAAGTCAAAACTTCTTTTGGGTTGTGCACAATGGCAACAAGATAAATGAGCAAAATATTTTGGTCTTCAATGATGATCTATTGCATCTTGGCGTGATATTATGTGGTTGCATCTTTTAAAAGCTTGTGGCAAGAAGTTTAGCCCTGAAGGCACTGAAATAGCGCTGACTGCTCTAACCTAACATTTCCTTCAGTCGAATAGCAAAGATGAAAAATAATCCTCGATTAATTTCCATGGATCTCTAAGATCAAAACATCTTCGTTGCCATCAGAACCTAAAATCTCATGTTGATGGTCGTCTTCTGAGTTGTAGCGCCGTGTTTATCGACGTTTCAGAGGTCCTTGCTGCCTAAATCGTCAGGGTTCTCACGTTGTTCCGAGACATTCAATTCTCTTTTGTGCCATATGATCAATGCATCTTGGAATTGGACCTTGGTTTCAAGTCCCACTCAAGGCATGGATGTTTGTCCGCGTCTTCCTGTGTTTGTACAGGTAGAGGCCTTGCGATGGGCTGATCACTCATCCAAGGAGACCTATCAAATGTCCACTAAATAGATCATGAAACCCGCACTGGGTTGTACAGTCACAGACAAAGAAAGTGTAATCAAGACTCATAATTACTCCTCGTAATAATAATTACGTCGAGGAGTCAAGGACGGTTGTCGACATTACAAGGTTAATTTAAAATCGATATTAAATGCGAGATGATAAATATCAGAAGTGACTTTACAATAATTTTATATAGACACTGATGTCTGTTAATTCAAGATCGGGAAGAATTTAGAACAGAATTTTTTGTGCTGAAAGAATTTCCTTTAACTATTATTATAGTAGTAAGAATTTTTACAATTTGGATGCCATTAATTCATACTTCAGGCACGTTCATTAAAATCACCTAACACATTTGCATGGTAATGATTTAAAATTAAATTTTGCTCTAAAAATTGTAAATAATCAGGGGATAACCTATCGATAAATTATAGTTGTCTCCAACAAGAATTTAATTACACACTCCTTAATTATAATTTATTTTAATAACATCGCTCTCATTTTAATTTAAACGACGTTTCAGAGACCACAATCCGTCTTCGTCCTCAGGTAAAACCTACTTTGTTCATGGAGCCAGCACGTGTCTTCAGAAAATGTTACAAAGCAATGAACCAAGGGCGGAGACCTCGGGCCATTTGGTAATTAATGTGTGGGTGTGTGTGGTATTTGCCACTGCTACACTTCTGAGAAAATGATGGGGCATTGACGCGGATGTGTCAGGGGAAATCAGCCCCAGTTTCACGCAGTCAAGCTTCGTGAAGCTCCGACGAGCTGACGAGTAGCGATAAGATTCTGGCTCACTCCTTTAGGGCTAAAAGGGGAGTAGCTTCTATCAGTCACTGAACGGTCATTACATCTGAGCCAGGTCACACGAAGAGAAAGCGTTCGATACAAAATGGACACCTCTTCATGCGAGATTCGAGAATATGGCTGCTTCGTAGGACAGATCTCCATGTAATAAACAAAACCCCTGAATGAGGGTATTCTGTTGTAGATCTTAAAATTTTATTGAGCTAAAATAACTTTCCTAGTGACACAAGCAATAAAGACGATTTTCATACAAAAATTGACAATTTGTTTTTCATACTTTCATCAAAATCTTCAACAGTCTGCCGGTTAATAAAAGTTAAAGTAAAGATGTCGCCGTACTCTACATAATGGCGTTGCTGAGGCGGGGGAGAGCAGGTAATAGCTCCGTCTTATTCTCAGCCTCGGCACTAGAGGGCAACGAGTGGTCAGCGTCACGCTCCGGCCGCGTTTTACCCCCGGAGAAAGGACTCCCAGTACCCACTGCATAGGTTAGGTTGGGTTAGGTTAGGTTAGGTTGGGTTAGGTTAGGTTAGGTTGGGTTAGGTTAGGTTAGGTTAGGTTTTGGTTGGGTTAGATTAGGCTAGGTTGGGTTAGGTTAGGTTAGGTTAGGTT